CTAAAACTTAGTTTGAATGCTGATGGAATAGGTGACATCTTTCAAATGCAGATTTCAACTTCAGATTCTAAATGTGGATTTCTTTTAAATTATAGTGACCGTAGCCCTTTGCTCTTTATCTATTTATTTAATCAGCAGGTGTTTTTCTTTCCCTTTCACTTTTCCAGTTACGTGTTTAAGCTGTGTAGTTGTTTCCCTGGCTTTCCAGCAAGTCTTATGCAGAAAAGAGTCAGTACCTCCATGTGTGAAAGTGACCCTGGGTCTTTTTCTTCTTTGGATTAAGCTATTCTCCATGTAGTGAATCAAGCATTAAAGGAGGCCCAGGGATGTCACGTAATGTCCTAGAGTAGTCATCCAATTAGGCCTTTCTTTTCTGAGTAAAAAAAATCTCATCTGAAAACTGATCGCACACTAAGCCTAGGAGGAGCGCCCAGGAGAAGAGACATTACCTGCACAGCTGCCTCAGAGCTCCCAGTTAGAACGCCTTCATTCCTCTCCTTTCAATCTGTAGTACAGGGCAGGTTTATCATACAGCATTCTGCCTTCAATTATAAGCTCCCTAAAAGCAAGGATGACTGAGCTCTTCTTCACCCATCTTTCTGATGGTCCACCCACACTAAACATAATTCCTTGCACAAAGTGTGCACTCTTTTTCTCATTTAAATATTTATCGGACACCTACCTTATGGCAGACACTGTATTCACTCTTGAATGCTTGCTGAATTGACTTGTAAAAAAACGTGAAAATGCAAAGCCCACATGCAACTGGACTGTAGGGATGTGTTCATTTGCTTTTTGGTAGCAATATCTAATTAAACCTGCATAGGCATGAAGTGGTAGAAGCCAAAATGACAGAAGGCTCACTGCCTCCAAGAAGTTCCAGAACGAGGCCCGCCTGGAGGAAGGAAGGATTTTCGCACTGCATGTGCCATGCCGACAGGAAGGGTGCAGGCTTGCTCCTCGCCTTCTAAGACTGCCTTCCCAGCATGTTGTGACATATTCTCCTTCTCCTGTGACAGATCCTCAGCGAACATTATTAGTTCTTTATCTTAATGACCAAAGGGACATTTCAATGACTCCTTTTTGAGGTGAATAGCAGTTTTCCAGAATCTAGAACAATGGACCTAAAATTAAATGGGCTTGGGTTATTTAATGTTAAAAGAGTCCCGGAGCATCGGTATAAGAGATACTAATTGCTTGCTATTTTAATAAATTGGTATTGGTTCTGAGTTGATTTATTTTAAAAAAGTAGAGCACGCATCAAGACTGAAGATCATTTTGGGCTGAGGAGAGATGGGCACTGGGTTTAGGCAGGAGGCAGAACAGTTTAACCTGAGAGCAGTATCTTCTTGTGGTTTAACAGATTATGCCTGCATTTTATAAATTTTGGAGTCATCCAGGGGCCTCATTTCCAGGATTTCCTCTCTTCATACTTAGAAGACTGACAGTTTTATTCTGTTGAAAGTTCAGAGAACTATAGGTCACGGGGCAGATTTTTCTAAATACAAAGAGCTTACTGTACAGAACTGAGTCCCATTAAAAAGCTTGAGCAATATTTTCAGTAATGACCTTAGGAATTTTAGGCAATGAAGAAATAAACTTTAAGGATCCCTCCGACATTGGTTAAATGCAATTAAATAAAAAGATTATAAGGTAAGGACTGCTTAGGTGATGTGTATACCTATGAGCAATGAAGTCAGAAGAAGTTGACAGAAGTGGTGTGTCAGGCTCTGCCTCTGGACAAGGGTCATTAAACTAGGGCTTATAAGTCCTAATAAAGGTGACCCAGGAGACCTCAGAAATAGTATGCAGTATTTTGTACATACAGATATCTTTCTGGATATGGGTCCATGGCTGTCATGATTCTCAAAGGATCCATGAATCAAAATAGTATGAAGAAGAACCAACCAATCATCCATCCACTATTCCTCCCTTCCCGCTGTCCTCTCTCCTTCCCTCCCTCCCTCTCTTTCTTTCTTCCTTTCTCCCTGCCCTTTTTTTGGTCTGCATTTTCCTCACCTAAGGCCTTAAACATTCTCAGGAAGACAAATGACTGGTTTTTAGCAAGTGAATACCTGCTGCAGGACTGTGGATTTGCTAGTGTGAATTCTGCACATACATACAGGGTTTCAAGTCTTATGTCAACATATGATTATTCTTATAATTATTGCAACAAGGAAGGGCAGTGATAATCTTACATCCCATTTAATCTTAGTTTGCACCACACTTGTCTCCTGTTTCACAGTTTCCTTATATTGTCACCATTGTAAACTGTTTTTGGAATGAAGTGGGTGGGAGGTACATAACAGAAACAAACTAACTTCAGGTTGCATTCAAAACCTACAAGACCTTCACAAAGAAATCCACTTTTACTTTGCCATCCATGAAGCTGACATTCTTTCCTGCACCATTTTATATTCTCAGTCCCAGAGCCCACCTTTGCTGTTGAGGTCAACAAATGTTGATTGAGCCCCCAATGTGCACTGGACCCTGTGTGCTAGAGATACAAAAGGAGGGTGACAGGGCTCCTGCTCTTGAACTGACACCCCATACACTAGAGAAGCTGATGCTATTGGTGATTACTCTCAGGTTAAAAGGAAATTGAGAACATTTTTCCAAAGAAAACATACAAATGGCCAATCAACACACTCTCATCATCATTAGCCATCAGGGAAATATAAACCAAAAGCACAATATAATACCCACTTCATGCCCATGCCCACTGGAATGGCCATGATAAAAAAACAACTGTCGATAAGGATGTGGAGCAATTGGAACCTGTATATACCGCTGGTGGCTGAGTAAAGCAGTGCAGCCACTTGAAAAATGGCTTGGTGGCCCCTCAAAGAGTTAAGCACAGAGTTACCATTTGACACAGCAATTTCATTCCTAGGTGTATGCCCAAGGGAACTGAAAGCATGTTCACACAAAGACTTGTACATGAATGTTCATACTGCTACTCTTCATAATAGCCCCAAAGTAGAAATAATCTAAGCACCCACCAAACATGAATGGATAAATAAAATGTGGCCTATCACCCTGGAAGACAAGATGTTACTAAGAAGGGAGTCTGGGGTAGTGCTGGTGAGGGGGACATGGGAACTCTCTGTATTCACTGTTCGATTCTTCTATAAACCTAAAGTTGCCAAAAAAATATGTTGCTCTATTTAAAGATACTGTCACTCCACATAATGGAATATTATTGAGCTATAAAAAAGAGTGAGGTACTAGCATATGCTGCATTGATGAACTTCAAAAACATTATGCTAAATGAAAGAAGCCAAACACAAAAGGCCACATCTTGATGATTCCATTGTATGAGATGTCCATGCAGGCAGATCCACACAGGCAGAGAGCAGGTTAGTGGTTGCCTGGGACTTGGGGAAAGGGAGAGAGGAGCATGGCTGCTAATGGGTATGGGGTTTCTCTTCAAGGGTCATAAAAATGTTCTGGACTTAGATAGTAATGATGTTTGCACAACCTTTTGAATATACTAATAACCACTCAACTGTGTGCTCTGAAAGGGTAAGTTAAATGGCATATGAATTATATCTTAGTTTAAAAAGGAGAACAATTGAGCTGGGAGAGGAAGGGAGGCAGTTCTTGCCCTTGGGTACACAGGGTAGTAGTTTTATTTCTTGGCTATAATTACATGACATTCTTTTATTTAACTTATTGTTTCTGTCTTAATGATTGAGGGTACTCAACACCTTTTTAGAATACTTATCTTTCTCTTCTATGTGCTGTCTTCCCCGTGGTGTATCATGCCTTTTCTTTTTTATATTATTCCAAAGTGAAGGACCACCATTAACAAATTCATCATGACTAGCATTTATCAGGAGCCTAGGAAAGAGCGGATTTCCTTCTTACACAATTGACGTTTTGCTCTGAGACTAAATGACATTCTCTGGTTGACTGAAAGTAAGAAGAATAATCCATTAAGAGTCGCTATGCACATCAATTATTCAGTTATTCAGGGAGAACAAAAGCAGACAGAGAAGGAAGAGGACACAGGACCAAGTCTTGACTCAGTTGAAATAAAACCATCCATAGCTCCTTGCACAATAATGGCATCACCGAACAAAAATTTGAAGACAAATGTAAGAAAATGAGGACTCATAGAAGCCATTCCTCTGTCTTTTCAGGCTCAGAGATATATGTAGCCTAACTGTGGGTCTCAAAGAAAATAATGCAATATAGAAGTTGTCTCAATAACAATGCTCAGGTCCTTTTACTTTAAAGTTGTGATTTTAGTTTTACGAAAACTGTATTTATTCATATACTTTATTTATTTATTTATGAGATATAAAATATGTATTTATTTTTTATTCTGAGGTTTGACCTTTTCTGATGTTCATAACACCTCATCCATTGCAATAATGATCCCCATTGCATCTCATAGCATTTAATATATAATTATTGAACATTTATATGTAATGCATACATACATGTAACATCAGTCATATTTAAATCTTTAAAGGCAAATAAAATAACCCGGTTAGCAAGTGTGCCTAGCCCTATAGAGTTGCATCAAGACAACCTATTCTTGTGACTGTAATGGGGTGTGTGGGAGGGACTTAATAATAGGGGGGGATGAAGTAAACATAATGTTGCTCATGTGAAACATTCATAAGATTGTATATCAGTGATACCTTATTTAAAAAAAAAATAACCTGTTCTTTTCATACTGTGTGGGCATTTTAGATGGTACGAAGTAATTCTTAGTGTAATTTATCCTAGAATTAATTATATGCTTTAAATGTCTATTAGACCACCTGGCTTACATTTCTTCAACTTTGCTCCTTTTTTATGTCTTTACAATGCACACATCACTATACTCACTCAATTATTAACAACCAGTACAGACAATATTCCACTTCCTGCTCCACTCCTTTAAAAAAAGGAAAGACAGTTCTGGGTACAGCCTTAGTGTTCATGCCCTGATATAATCACTCTAGTCATATTGGTTGGAGAAAAACATGACGAGTAAGTGCACTTACCTGGTTTCACAAGGCCTGACTTTTGTTCCTTCTTATATCGAGCTGACTGGATGCCTCCTTCACCAACCATTCCAATTGTGCATTTCTTTCTGGTAAAGCCTTCATCACTTCCAGGGCAAAAGCCAACAGGGCTGTTTCCAGTATCTGAGGGTGTCTTCACTGGCGACACTGACTGGCTACTAGGACAGCCTGTGTCATCTGGAAGACAAAAATCACTAAATGCTTAATAAGGAGGAGACCAGTGATGGCAAAGAGAAGCCAGGCTGGGAGCCAGGCCCACCCGCTCCCACACATACACACGGTCTCGGCCTATGAGGCCCCAGGTTAGCTCCCATGGATGACTCTCCTTTTATTGTCCTTATTTTGACCAATAGTTAACTAAGAAAATATCAACTATCATAAAACAACTCTTAAGGCAAACTTTAAAGCTTTTTGGGTCACAGATATTTCTGTAACGTTCTTGTTGGTTAGACTGTTTTAACACTTTAGGTATATAAGTATATTTAGGTCATAACTGTTCATAGATTTTTTATGGAATTATTAATAAAAAGCACCACAGCAACTCAGGATCATTAGTATGAACTCTTCAGTGTTGTTTGTGTTAGGAAAAAAGTTATGTGAATATTATTGACCGCACCCAGTTTTTGATTGCTTAGCCCATCAATTTGTTAAAAGAGTTTGATATTTGACAGATAAGATGTCTGACTTTAGGAGTTCAAGGAAGCAGAGAAGCGTGATCCTGTTTTACTATCATACACAACCAAGACATGTATCAATCAGATATTTTGCTGTCTGGGGCATAATGGTAAAATGAAAATGATATTCAAGTTAGAAACATTCCCTTAACTTCCAAGTTATAGATGATTAACATAGTCATTACTGTAAGTTAATGTGCATGATATGTAGTGTCCTTTGCAGATGTTTACTGAGCAAACAGGACCTATACTACTGACACTAACAAATCCTTTCCATGTTTATTAGATATTTATGATGGTTGGTTAATTCATTTATATTCTGATGAGAAGAACTGTATGGGAATTTAAAGTATATTAATACTATTTAAAAGTATGTCTATTTGAAATAATCAATTATTTAGTAATGAAATTTACTAAATAATTCTTTGTTATAAGGAAATATTTTGAATGTCAGAGTTACCTTAGTAAATAGTAAGACCAAAAATGAATAAAGACATTCAGTAGTAATAACTTCTAGAACTATTACATTTTTATGAATATTACCTTTAGTATTTTACACTACTACAATAATCTGCCAGATGTCAAAGGCTATCTTTTAACTCCATAATTTTAATAAAGGCAGAAACAGAACTAACCATGAATAAAATGTACAGGTTGCCTGAATTAAGATGACTAGAATCCATCTAAAAAAGTTGCTATGGCTTTATATTGGGCCTTTATTTCAATTTTTATTACGAAATATCCCAGTTGATGGAACAAAGTGAACTTGGCACTGGTAAGATGATTGATTTCTCTTAATAGCCATCTTTGACTTTTGGACATACCACTATAGATGTAGGACCTCAACGGTCCATTTCTGGAAGTGAATGGTTTAATGGAAGTGAACGGAACAGTGCACTGCTCATGCCTGCTGTCTTTGCTGCTCTTTTAAATGTGCAATGTTCTTCCTGAACTCCTGAAGAAACTTTGGCTCTGAATTTCAGAGTGATGAGGACCCCTCTTGGCTGCAACTCCTCAGCTACTGCACCACTTACTGTCCCTGCCTTTCTCTTCCATTTGTGTGTCTCATGCTTCAACCCAAAGATGTCCAAACAGCTCCTCTCTAAAGGTGCAAAGCTGCTAATTACTCAGACAGATTCTGGCTCAACAGGCCCTCACAATGCCTCAGGATAGCCTTGTTCTTGATTCCTATCACAAAGCAGATAAAACCAAAGGAATGAGGTCTAACCATTCAAAAGTACCTATTGCCTTTAAAATTGTTTCCTTGTGAGTCAATTCCATAAATTACTTCTTTTGAAGGAGAGAGGTCCAAATAAATAAAAACCCATGCTTCAGATTCTTACCTTAAAAAGTAATTTTTCTTGAAAACTCTTGGACTCAAAGGGACAAAATTAAACAACTTCCATTATTGAGAAATGCTGTCAAAATTATAATTGAAATAAACAGAAAACAAATGTGTTTTGTTTGGTTCTATTATCAGTTTGCCAGAGTGAAATAAGGAGCAAATGTATACACTATGTGTTCGGTACTAGTGATGTTGAAGTGTTAGGGTCTGGTTAAAAACTGTGAACTGAAATCATTTAAAATGGTGGCAGTTTAGGGAAGGCAGTAACAATTTTTCACCTAGAATGTGTCATGCTTCACCTGTCATGAATATTTATAGCTAGTATCTTCAGGGCCAGGGATTGAGAAGATGAATACCTAAATGAATGTTTAACTTTAGATGCCTTGCACAGCATTTGAATCACTATACTACATAAACTAGTGTTCACTCAACATCTCTTAAGTGTCTAGTATTATACCTCTATACCAGGGTGTGTGTTAAACAAATACGTATCAAGTCTTGGCAGTGAACCAGCCCACAGACATTACACCCAGCCCCCACACTGAGGGAATTTATGAATAAGCAAAAGTAGGTGGGTAAATATCACTTACAATGCACAGTTCCTCTAAGCTGGCAAGCCTGTTGAGGCTAACCCATGCCCCAGAAAATCTGTGAGGTACCAGAGAAGTTCAGGAAATTGGCCTGTCTTGCCTAATTAGACCAACACTAACACAGGAACCTAGTTTGGAAAGAGTGGGGCCTTTGATTTTCCTGCTAGAGAGAACAATCTTTAAGTCATGCAAAGTTAAGGCCTGAGTAAAGGTGGCAGAGCTTCATGTTACAGATTTATGATGATCTGGTCACCTGTGGCACCTGCACTTTCCTCTGTCCAGCACTCAAGATGGGACTATTTCCCACAAGTCTTATTTAGGATCCTTTCTCCCTCCCCAGCCTCTTCTCTCTTCTTCCACCTCCTTAACTTCACAGCCACAGTTGAAAGCAGAACACAACCCCAGATGCAGACAATTCTCCTTCAAATTATATTTAAAATATTTGAGTTCACATATACTCCACAATACTAAGAACAGTGAGGACAAGTTGGTGTTTCTCGTTTGTTCATATCTCATCTTACATTGAGCCAAACTACATGTGGATAAGGCACATATTTAAGAGATTTATTTATCAAACCTGCTTCAGTTAAACCCTTTGAGTGTGCTTCTGTTCCCTGCTGTTCCCTTCTAATCTATGGATTAAAAGTCAATGGATTTAATTCTAGTGCTGAATTTGTCCTGTGGAATCTGTAGATCCCTAAACCCAATATTTACAATTAGAGCTTTTATTAGTTGCATTAGTATAAAGAAATTATTAATGAAAAAAGTTTCTAATATGACACCATGAGGAAACTGTTTCTGGAGAAGAAATGGCAGAAATCCTGAATGATCTACCCAAAAGGTGTGGGGTGTTTCAAATTTCCAGAATGTCTGAGAAAAGTAAGAACATATCAGTCTAGTTGTAGCACAAGGGAAGCTTTGCTTGCAAGGCTGTAGGAAGAATATGTAGAAAAGTGTCAGTCAGTCCTTTAAAACACACACACAAGCACATACACATACACAACAGCCCTTACATACAGAGTTTTACATTTCTTTTCCTATTAATCATGGTAAGTACAACTTCATTAAAATAAAGCATACAACAGGACCACATTCCTTGTTTTATACAGTGTGATCCATTTGAATATACAGCATGATTTCCTTCTGGGGTCAACAATTTAAAATCCCACTTACATGGGCCCAGATGGTCCCTGATGGAATTCAAATAGAAGTAACTTTCATCAAGGCCACATCTAAATGATCACTATGTACAGTGAAGGAGACTAGTTTACATGTCCTCCTTGATTTATATTAAGGAATAAGTTCTTTAGTTGTTGATGTTGTTCATTTGCTTTGAATCTGTCAACACACAGGATGAGGAATTATACAAAGAATACTCACAGATCCAGGAACACAGATCCAGAAGCTGTGGTCTATCTAAAGTGCTCTAAGAAACACACCTACTAACTTGTTTCCAAATTGTTGTTAAGGGGAAAAATATTTCAGATTTATAAAGACAGACGGGAGTAACAGTTATACTTCAGTAGTCTGGACATTATTTAAAAAATTGTTTTTTAAATCTATTTTTCCTCTCTCTTTACATTATAAGCTCTTTGAGAATATGGAGTGTAGTTAATAATTGTTCAATTGCAATTCTGGAAAAAGAGTGTGTAAGTCTCTTTAAAGTAGTTTTATCTTATTTTGAGTGCATTAAAGGAACTTGCTTAATTAAGGGGCATTCTCTGTTGAGGTTGCTAAAATTTTAACTAAATTTTTAAAGCTATAGAAGTAATAATTCTTAATGCAGAAGCTCTAGAGTGCTGTTGAGTACAAAGAAGCCAATAAAAAAATTGAGATAATATTTTTCTATAATTTTACTACCAGAAAAAAAATACTTAACAATTTGGTATATTTCTTAATGATTTTTTTATACATATGGTTTACTTGGTTGCTTGCTTTTGTGAAAATTTCAACTTATATTATACTGTTTCACTACTCTGTTATTGAATATTTCTCCCTGGAACTTGTTTGGCTAGAAAGACAGAAGCTATTAAAGATTAGTAGGAGACAACACAATGGTGCCTCCCAAATGGCCAAAGATAGAAAAATTTGAGCATCTAAAATAATAAATGAAACTGATTGATAACCACTGGATATATATACAAAAAATCTGAGTTCATGACAATAATTTTAAAAAAACTAAAGAGAGAAAGAAAGAGCCCTTACATTCCAGAGAATCCCAACCCACTGGAAATCATTGGAAGTGACCCAGGGCCCATTTTTTATATTAAAATTTGGCAATTAAAAGACAAAAAGAATTAGCATATATTCTGAGCAACAAATATAATGGAGAAACCATTAGACAAATCGCTGACAGAGAATTTACAGTTCAGGGATCAGGTCTTACTCATTTGTACGCACTGAATATCCTCAGCACCACCAACAGTAGGACAGCAAACATCTGGTACCTTCTAATGGGATGCAGGATGAAGCAAACAGCTTTCCCCATGAAGCTTTCTTGCCACTAAGAACTGCCCCTGAATTGAATCAAGCTTTGAAGTTAATGTCCACCTTATAAAATACACAGAA